AACAGTGGACTTGTCTCGAATGATGGTGCTGTATGCCGCGGCGGAAACAAGGGAAACAAGCGGCGGAGAAGAGAAGGGACGAGGCTCAGAGGCCTCCGGAGCGTCCGTAAAGGGACCGGGAATGTCCATGGAAGGACCTGGAGGTGGCGAAGACGTCGGGGCCGGTGTAGGAACCACGGTCGGGGATGCCGGAACCGGAAGAACCTTGTCCATAGTTGGAGCGACCGGAACTAGATCAGGAGTAGTATCCTGGTGTGTCGACACAGAGACTCCGGATGAGTTGGAACGGAAAGAGATTGTGGCGTCGGACCAGTTAATCAACGGATTAATGCGGGAGAGCCAGTTGTATCCAAGAACCATATCGGAGGGAGAATCAAGACGGGTGACGTAGAATTCCATAGAATGGACTTCGCCGGAAGGGAATTTGAGAAGCAGGCGGAGCTGCTTATTAATGATCGAAGAAGAGCCGTCGAGATACCGGAGTCGGACCGGATCTACCGCATACGGAATCAACCCATAGATTTCGCAGGCCTTCGCGGAGATAAAACAATGCGAGGAACCAGAATCAATAAGAGATCGTAAGCGGGAGTTGAATCCCGCGGCAATTCGTAATACATCGGAAGGAAGTATGGTTGAGCATAAATCCGTACCGGAAGAGATAACGTCCGGACGGAACAGAGATACAAGTATATCGACATAAAGGGCATTAGCGGAAAGAGCGGAAGCGTTGAGACGAACCTCGGGGAGTACCTCGGAGTCAACGCAACTCGGCACAGGTACGGAGGTGTCCGAGCTGCTGATCATTTTTTTGACTCGGAGGTGGACTCGGCCGAGGCGGCCTTCGCCGTTGCACCGGAACGCTTCCGGCAATCGGAAGCCTGGTGTCCGGGACCAGCCGCAATACATGCAGAGGTTGAGGCGAGTGCGCCGATCGCGCTCCTCCTGCGTGATCCTCCCCGACTTGTCGAGCTTGTCGGCGTAGGGCTTGGGCGTCTTCTTGGAGGAAGAGGCCTGACCGGAGGTCGCAGTAGTCGAAGCCGACCCGGAAGACTTTCCGGAGCCGGACTTCTGACCGGAGGAATTGTTGGAGGGAGAGGAACCCGAGGAGGTCTTGTTGGATGACCCCTTGTTCCCGCCCTTCTGTCCACCAGATGGCTGACCGGACGACTGTCCGGACGAGCCCTGGTGACCGGAGCTGAGCTTCTCTCGCTCACGCTCCCGAACCCTCTCCAACTCGCGCTTCCACCACCGATGATCGATCTTCCGGGCAATTTGCTTAACGCCAAGGAGAGTGTTGACATAGTTGTGATGAACCATATCGTCCTTGATGCGGCGTGGCAAGCCTTCGTAATACTGGTGCCGGAGCGCATTATCGCCCCACTGAGTGAGCATAGCGTATCGATCGAATTCGACGGTGTATATGGCGATCCGATCGCCCGGTTTCATACGGACCGACCGGATGAGATCCTCCGCATCCCCGATTGGGTCGTGCGGGCCGAAGTTGTCCTGAAGCTCCAAAATAAAGCGCTTGAAATTCCCGTCCCATGCCGGAACGGAACCGGAAGCCTGGTCGTAGAGATTTGGTTCGAACCAAGCCTGCGCGGTGCCCCGAAGATACGACATGATGTAGAAGATCTTGTCGTCATCGGTGGAAAAATCCTGGGCGCGCTCAGCGAAATGAAGATAACACTGAGTAAGGAAGGACTGAAGCTTCGAAGAATCGGAGCCATCGAACGTATCCGGATTCCGGAGGTTCGAGCGAGTTGAACGAGGAGGAAGAGGATTAGCCTGACGAGCGGTGAAGTCTTGAAGAAAACCCCGGAGACCCCGAAGGGTCGATTCGAGGAGGGGATCTCCATGATCTTCCGGATCAGTGGAAGAACTGCTAGACGACGGGGCCGGAGGGCCACCACCGCCTCCACCGCCTCCGCCACCGCCTCCACCACCACCTCCGCCACCACCACCCCCACCAGATGGTCTACCGGATGGTCGACCACGGTTGGGACCAGGACCGGAAGGACCCGGAGCGCCTCCGGAAGGAAACTCAGGCGGGTCATCGTCTGGTTCATCCGCAGGAGAAGACGTAGGATCAGCCTCCGGATGAGATGATTCCTGACCTTCCACAATAGGAGCAAGACCAGGAGTTTCGTCTTCGCTATCGACGTCGGAGATGTGACCACCTTGTACGAAAGGTATGCCAGTAGTTTCGAATTGAGCCGAGCGATTACGACGAGGGTGAGGTGAGGCAGGGTACCGGACCGGATGCTCCGGGGTCCGAGGACTGGTGACTAGTCCCGGAGCGTGAACCGTAGAAGCAACCGCAGGCGCAGGCGAGCGACCGCGGATCTGAACCGGAGGAGGACGAGGATTGTAGGACGTCGGAATGTCCAACATGGTGTTAACGGGCGGAGTCATCGGGATAATATTTGCGAAAAGGCGAGATTCGCGTCTGGGGCGGTCAGCCCTCTCGGAGATGACCGCCGCAGCAACGTAGGGAGAGTCGGAATCCATAGAAACAGCAGAGGTAGGTGAGTTTGATTATACTGTTATATACCGAGCCGACGTGGGGAAGTGATCCGAAGTTCCGAGAAGACCGGAAGGACGGAAGGACGGAAGTCAGTAGATATAGCGCAAGCACCACAGGAAGATAAGGGTGTGCGTACTACCCGTGCTGAAGGGGACGAAGTAGGAAGTCGGAAGTTCCGGTGAAGCCGGAACGACTCAGAGCAGAGCGAAGAGCAAAGCACGTTAATAATCAAACTGAAGAATACAGGCATAGTACATAAGGTTTATATAGTAGTTGAAGATCAATATCCTAATATGGTAAGACAAAGCGACTACCAAAAGCGGGACTTGAATATAACAAAGCGAAGTACATACGGAGACGGAGAAGACAGATGGATGAGATAGATAACGGATAAACGGGAAACGCTCAGTAATCCTTCATTGCGTGAAAACCCGATCAGCCGAGTCGGTCCGAAGGCGGACCGACAGTTTCCGAAAGACCGGACGCTCCGAAGGCCGGAGCTTCCGGTACGGACGGAAGGTCAATGTGCATGGATATAACATGTACACCGGCTGTATCTGCAAAAGCTAACGACTCGCTTCCACCTCCTGCTAGGCTAAAATCACGTTCCTTTGCATTTTCAAGCTTTCCCAATGTTATCCAACCTAATTCTCCCAATGTTTGGTCTCCACTGTCTGGCCCCGGCCTGTGCTACATCCCCAAGTCCTTCGTACACAGCACCCCTGTCAATCCCAATACGTAAGGCACCATCCCTGACTCTGAATACAACTCATTATCATCACGTACCTCTACCTATCACCACGCTGAAATGCCTGTGTCACCTCCCTCCAACCAGCTGACTCCTTGCAAGACCTACCTCAAGCTCTACAACTCCTGCGACATCATGGCACGAGCAGGCTCCAGAAATTTCTGGGAAATTCAGTGTATCATCTAAGATACGTAAGCTCGTACTTCAGTCCCCACCCGACATCCGCTCTCCATTCCAAATCACTTCTCGAATTTGGAGAGTCACTGCAACAGCAACAAATGCATCCCGCGCACCAGCTGAGCTTCTACCGTGTCGCCTGTCCCTTCTCCGCATAAATCACCAGCTGCCTCTTCTTCTGCAATACCTCCGATGACTGGCAACAATGATGGAGACAACGAGGATGATGATGATACATTTCAATTCCAGTGCATATTCTGTGAATACATATCTCATTGATCATGCTGCTTACACATATGATCAGATATGGTTCTTTGTCTTGTCCACCAGAAGCCTTATCCTCCAATCCATGTATGCCACCTTTAAACCCACCCTCTACACCGTCTCCCATGGTCGTTGTGCAAGTCTGCCCAGGAAGCCAACTCAACTGGCCCATCGATGTAGGCCCATTTATGGAGACCTTCCTGTTCCATAGAATCGGTCTCGAGCCAGGTCCTCTGTCCTTCAACGTCGAAATCCATGACCGTGGTACCACTGTGATCGCCTTTTTTTCAAGGAATGCACCACAAAGGCACGACTCAACGGCTGCTGTTGTCATTGCACAAAAAATTCAGCCGAGGACCAGAGGCTTGTTAATCTAGCTCTTCAGGTCGACTTGCGTGTCAATCACCGCTACCTCAGCTGGAACCAGATTCAGAGTTTGTTGGCGGACCGTGCGGAGGAGGTGCAAAGATAGTGTCTCAAGGTATGTGCCATCCATCTCTGGGGGCGGCTGCAGTAGACCTCAATTGCTCCATGGCTGGGACGGCTCTCAACAATGCGTGCATCATCAATCCTGCAGTGCTCACACGGCCGGTTCTTAGCACGTCTCCCAGACAAAAGCGATGACTCGGTATTCAAGCTGCTATTTCCAGATGACCCACAAGATGTTCCTCGAGTGGTTGAGCTCATGGAGGCTCAAGTATGATTTTGGCCAAGTTGATGCAAAATTGCAGCTGACTTGGACTCAATCATCTTCTGGCTCTCATCCTCAAGTCTATCCTTGCACCATCCATCATGCCGGACATGTCCCTCACTGAGCAGATGACACATCTATCCACTTATGCGCATCTCACCTTCACCCTCTTTGCATGAACTGGCTCTCGTCCATGTCGAACCAGCTCTACGGTGACTCGAAGACAGTGATCAAGAACATGTTTTTCTGCCTGGCTAAGGAGCAGAAGCTCGATCCCACCCAACCTTTCTACCTGTTTCAAGTTGGCAAGGAACCATTGGAGAAGCTATTTGGGAAGCTTTGTATACCTGGCAGGCATAACTCAGCAATGAATTACGTGCAGGAGGCTTGGTTATGTCTGTGCATCTCCAATCAGTCTACTTGCAGCAGCCAGATCTTGAGCAGCGGTCATGATCAGTGCTACAGGATTTTGCGACCTCACTAACGTACTCGCCGAATCGGGAACGATCACATCCGCACTCACCGATCATATCCGCAACTTATGTTTATTTCCTTATTCGTTCTTGTCACATCAAGGAAACATTCTGTTTTATGGGCGTATGGTGTAGTGGTATCACTCATGCTTTGCAGTCGGCTTTATGTGTATGCGGTCCAGGGTTCAAACCCCTGTGCGTCCAGCGCTTTTTGCCTTCCAGGACAACCCTTAAGCTCACTACATTCTTTTTCTGCTCAGATTCACTTTTTCTAGATGGATTCTTCCGAATTCCCAGCAATACTTAGATGTCTACTGTACATAATGATATTCCGAGTGTACCCATTAGATAGCCGAGTCACCGGCCTCGTCCAAACACCTAAGTTTAAGAAATACGTCGCTGCCTGCCAGCGATTTGAGCATAAATGGCACAGGCTGGTCGCAGGATGAACTTACCCCACCCTTCCAGTGACATGAGATCCAGCGAACCTCCGAAGTACCTAATTCAAGACAAATTGATTTTGGGGTGAAAGAGAGAACTCAGGACCTACTTGGCGTATAATCTGCTCATCGGTAGCCTGGAGAAAATAGGTGAGAAAAATTGAAACTGGTTCGCTAAACATACCCATAACCCAATCCAGCAATCTGTCGGAGGCACTTGAGGAAAAAGTGAGATTACGAAAGAAGAAAAAACGCACAGTTCCCATTCCCGTTTGCAACCCTTTGGAAGTCATTGCGCTAAACAAACTAGCGTCCCCACCTCCAATATTAGCGAGCCCCCCAATGTGCTGGGCAGCATACGGCCCACCGCCCCCGTCTTCGTCATATTCGCCATTGCTCTTTGCGGTGGTAAAAGCGTACGAGAATATCCGCGCCATATTGCTGGGTGATACGCCACCACCTTCATCCCGGATCCGTATCGAAAAGAAATTGGAATGCGCGGTGCCAGTTGACCCGGGCATCGGTGGTACTATCGTAATGCGCACAGGGGGCAGAGCACGATGGAACGCCTTGTGATGCTCTACAGTCGCGCGGAACGAATTCTTTAGTATCTCGGTGAGGATATACTCGAGATGTACCGGGACATATCTGCAAAATCTCAGGTGGGCCAGCCAAAGGGGATAGTAAAATGGAAGCGCACGCAAACGTCGCGTTTGGGTGCCCTTCGATGACAATGGAGGGGCTGGAGCCGAGGGTTGCTGAGCAGAGTTCCGCAACGTACGACTCGCACATGCGAATCATTTGCGATGGAGAGCATTGCATGTCAACAACGCCGATGTTACCGAAGGCCTCGCCCCGGGAGGCCCCCTCCAATGCATGTGAGATGGCGACGTGCTGCTCGGCGATGAGGCGCACGGAAACCCGGTTGCGGATCGCACCGTCCAGAAAGTGACTGATTTGTGTTGGAGACATGTACTTTGCGCTCTCCAAGAATCTGAAAACGCTGGTTCACAACCATGGAACAAGATTTAGGCCAAAAATAAACCCTTTCGCCATGGTCGGAATATCGTTGGAATGCCGTTGAACGAGGTCCTCAAGTTGTTCAGTAAACTTTTTGTTTTCCTCAAGCGTAGTTACGGCAGGATAACTGTGCGCAGGATGAACCTGCTGACGTCGCTCACAAAATGAAAGCTGCTAACGTGGCAAGGAGCTGAAAGCTATCTCTGTACGCGTTGAGCGTATTGGCCACATAGGGATTGGTTCCGACTATAAATGGCAAAGATTCCAGAGATCGCACTCGCATTGCGAGCCGCCGAGGTATCTCGGCCAAAGCATATGTCACAGACGAAAGCACCGAGGATGGCGTTACCTTTGAGCAACGAATCAGCTTCAAGTTGAGCTATAACTTATGAAAAGATGTTACAGGGCGGCCAAAGGAGAGTAGAGAAGCAAGGTCGAGGGGACGTGGCGGAGATGATGCATACCGTTGAAGGAGTTCGGTGAGTTCTGCAGAGATAGGCTGGGGCGCGCGTCGATAGTAACTACGGACGCTCGATTTGAACATGAGAGAGGGCTCAGAGAGCTAATAATTAAGTGGCGATGAGGGCCAGTTTGGATGTGTTTCGACAGATATTAGTCAGCCATATCGACAGCTTTGGCCGGCTATAAAGCACTCCCGAGCCAGACACAAATTTCCATCATCCGAAAGTGCAGAGTGTATTGCAGAATTAAGGTACGTGCTAAGAACTGAAACAACGACAACAAGAGAAGCAGATAAGGGAATACAGCAGACCGGGTATGAGCCAGGACTTTAAATGAATTAGTCTAAGAACGGACTTCAGCATGGTCAAGAACAATAAAAAAACAGCCCAAAATATATAGCTCATTTTCCGGCCGTGGTCTACAGCATGGTCAGTAGCGTTACGCACGCAGGAAAGGGTTGAACTTGCCGTGATCCCATTCAGCGTTCGACTGGAGTGGTATGTCGAGAGACCCTGGCTTTGGGCGGTCCGGTACGACCGCGACGATCCAAGCGTCGAGGGCTGCGATGAATTGCTCGGAGTCGTCGGGGCACCGTTGCCAGTGGTTCGCGATGTCCGTGCAGTGAGGGGTGTCGGAGCACTGATCAACGACTTCTTCGGTGTCTCCGTCACTTGCTTGGCGCGGCTGCTTAATGCAGACGACGAGACGGTCGCTTTTGGTGTCGTCGACGCCGGAGCTTTGGGGCGTTTTCCTGCAGTCACGAACGGATGCCTCATGGCTGCTTGGGGCTTAATTCGCCGCTCGGGATCCCAGACTAAACATTTTGCAATGAAGTCGACGAATTCTTCATCATTGCATCTCAAAACCTGGGCAAGAGTCTTGGTACCAGGCCTCCTTCGCCGACCCTTGGAGTTGATTACTGCACGCGGAGCTCCATTGGGATCTACGGAATGTCGGTTAACCGTCGGGCAGATCAGGTTCATTGTACATACCAAAGAAGAGTTTCTTCCTCGAGCTACGGTTGACAAACTCCTTGTCAGGAATACCGAGGACTTCCATGATGCACGAAAGCTGCTCTTGTTCATTCTCACCCGGGAATATGGGGAATCCAGTGTACAGCTCGGCCAAGATACAGCCCAAACTCCACATATCAATGGCCATGTGGTAATTCATACCAAGAATAACTTCGGGGGAGCGGTAGAAACGACTTTGGATATAAGTATAGACTAAAAAATGACGAGTTAGTTGGGAATAGGTGACGGAGGGCAACCACAAACTACTTTTCTCGTGCTCGAGGCAACTGCTACCAAAGTCGATAACTTTGATTGCACTCTTTGCAGGGTGACGTAGCAGGACATTCTGGATACACCGCTTTAGATAATGAACTGGGCAAAGGAAACAAAACACCAACCTCTGGCTTGAGATCGCAGTGGACGATGCGATGATGACGCATCAATGAAAGGGACAGCAGCATTTGGCTCGTAAAGCGCCTGATCAAGGCGGTCGTAAAGCCAACGAAACCATTAGCTTTGATGAGTTCATAAAGATTAATGCTGAGGAGCTCCATTGCAATGCACAAATGATTCCTGAAGTAAAAATGTTCAGTCATCTTGATCACGTGATGTTTCTCTTCTGCATCCTAAACAACGATAAACCTAAGGCAGACCTCAGTAAACGCAGGCAAGCTCACCCATTTGCGAAGATTGTCCAAGATTTTGATTTCTACCAGTGCTTGGTGGTGGAACCGTTTCTTGTTCCGGATTATCTTGACCGCGACAGACTCGCCAGTGCAGTGATCTCGGCAGTGTAATACTTGTCCGAAAGATCCTTTCCCCAGCGTGTCGATAATTTCGTAGCGGTATGAAAGATGGTCGTGGTTAACGACGAGATAGTCGCCTCGGTCGTCATCGTACCCGTAATTGTTGGTCGAGTTGTCCAAAACCGCAGCCTTCTTCTTGCTTCTGGCACCAATACAGTACACAGATGGGAAGTCGAGGATTTCTTTGCGTTCAAATTCAGACAGGAACTGGTTCTGGGAGCTTTTGAGAATCGCTGAGAATTTACATTGTCAATGATTAACCTAAACGAGGGAATTGGAACTGACCTGCGGGGGTGGAAGGAGTGCCCGGCGGCAGAGGCTCAGGGAAGCATAGCAACTCGTCGAGCTCCTCCTGGGTCGCACCAGATGCCATTTTCTTGGCCTGCTGCCGACGGATATAATGCAGCATCTCTTCATCCCCTTGAACCTCCTCATCATCAACCGAACTAGGGGCGGGGGATGGAGTAGACAACGACTGGCGGCTCGAAGAAGGCGAGTTGGCGATTTGTTGGATACTCTGGGTGGAGGTGGAATTGGAAGCACGTGTCGATGAAAGTCCAATCTTGGGGCTGAGAAGCTTCAACCCTCGGGATGGAGAGAGAGCAGAGAACCGGTGGTGAGTGGATGACTCCGTGGCGGCTGCGGTAGACGCAGAAGCCACCGAACTCGTCGAGGATTTGCGGAGACCCGTAAACGAAATAGAATCTCGATTCGCTTTACGTGTCAGTACGCTCGAAGAAGATGACGCTGCAGTCGCGAGTGATTGTCGGGGAACGCGAGAAGTAGACACGGTGGCAGGAGACGCACGGACTGACGCGGTGCGGGTAGGACCAGATACGGTTTTTGCCTGGCTGTCCTCGCTTTCCATCACCCCAAATTCGTTCGTCGACATATTGGTTGGCGAAGGATTTGTCGACGACGACAATCCGCTGACGTTAGCGCTAGCACGACGGCTGTTGAAAGTACCCTTTTGCATCGGCGATCCAACCGTTGACGTTCGGCTTGAAATACGGGGTATCTTGGTCGGAGTCTCCTTCGGCAGACCCGAAACGGAGTTCGTCAAGGACGACGGAGGACCCTCCTTCAACGATTGTACACCATTCGACCCAGTCGTTCCAACAGAAGGCGAACCGGCTATGGTGGGCAACACGTTGCGCGAGCGCAAAGAGCTGTCCGACTGCTTTTGCATGGAACTCACCGTCTGCGAGGTGAGTCTCGATGCGGACGCAGTTCGCGTGGTACTGCTCGGGGTAGACGAGGGCGTCGAACTGGTGGAGGAAGTGGACTTGAGTCGAGCAACGCGCTGGGCAGTCACCGGTTCTAATGCCTGCATCTGTAAAGGAGGAAGATGAACAGGTGACTTTGTTTTCCGGGGTGGCGGGTCGGTGGAAGAGAGTGTCTGGCGACGATAGTGAGCAAAACAGCTAATTTCAAAAACAAAATGAACCCAATACCTTCCCGCG